TGTTTAGAAACAATTCCTAAGACAACACATCCAACCACTCACTCATGCCATATCCCCCGCCCTGATTCCAACCGCCCCCTTGGTTGCCGTAATTGCTTTGGCCGTATCCGCCACCATATCCGCCGCCGTCTAATCCAATCGATTCAATGTTAAAGTCAAACAAATAACACAACAAATCAATGACAACATACAGCCTCCTTGGCCACCGTAACCGCCGCCTCCATAGCCACCGCCATAATTGCCGGGTCCGGACTCCCAGACGGGTGCGTTTCTGCCGCCCTGACCACCCCTGGGGTTAGAGCCGCGCGCCTCAGTCTTCCTCTTCATTGTGTCCATCTCTTGCTTCGACAGCGCTTTCTTCACTTCAGTTCGCTTTCCTTTGATCACGTGATGTCTCTTCACTATCAGTGTAAACAAATGCATTAAACACATGAATGGCATGAATGTCTGGAGTGGTACTAACGGACAATCTTGTCGACGGGATCGTAGTCGTCGAACTCGACGAAAGCGAATCCCCTCTTCTTTCCCGTCTCCTTTTCGGTGACAATGTTAACGTTCACTACATTTCCGAATTCAATGAAATAGTCCTTTAAGTCATTCTCTTCGATGTCTTCCTTAAGTCCTCCCAAAAACACTTTCTTAACCGTCGCCTGAGCCTCAGGTTTACCCGAATCCTAAGCACACATCACATCACATGTCACTCAATGGCGAACAGCATTCATGAGCGCCACTAACCTCTCGGGGAACCGCTCGCTTGGGCTCCACTTCTCGTCCGTCCACTTTATGGGGTCGCGAGGCCTGCGCCGCGTCCACCATCGATGCCTTGCTGTACGTAATGAACCCAAAACCTCGGGATCTCTTGCTCTGCGGGTCTCTCATGACAACGCAGTCCACGATTTCTCCCCACTGATCGAAATGCGAGCGAAGCGTGTCTTCAGTGGTCTTGTAGTCCAGACCACCGATGAATAGTTTGCGGAACTGTTCCGGTTCTTCATTGTCGTCGTCGGCGTTACTGTTATTGGCGTTACTTTCGTCGGCTTTGTTGTCATTATTGCCGTTCTCTTCAGTCGTATCGCTGTTTTGGTTGTCATTCATATTAATGTCGTTTTGCTCTTCGTATTCATTGCTGTCATTCTCTTCGTGACCATTGTTTTGGTCGTTCTTCACCACCAAAACACACAACCAATCAGTAAATTATCATCAAATCAATGGTTTGTCAATTCAATTGACAATCGGATGCATTGTTTGCATGCAATGGTACCACAAATGCGCTAAAGAGTCACATTTGGGGCACAATTGGTGTCAAAGAGCTCACCTCTGCTTTGACAGGAGTTCCAGTCATAGTGTGTGGTGTTTGTGATGACCAGTGCTTGCAATTGATGGCAAAGTTGTGACAAATATGTGGATAATTGTGGGCAAAGAGACAAAGGCGTCAATAAAATGGCAAAACGAGTCAAACGGAAGTCCAATGGATGGCAAACCGGCGGAAGTGAGGCATCGATACAGCACTGCATTGCCTGTCAGTGCCGTCCAGTGGCGCCACTTCTCCAACATTCGTCCAGTCATTGAGTTTTGTGTTGAAATTGTAACAAAACTTTTCTCACTCTCTTGACCACAATTATTGTGATTACAAAATTAGTGGCAAATTAGTGAATGCATGAATGAAATGTGAATTAAAGTGATAATTAAATAGATTTTATTACAATATTTAATAAATACAGGTTTTGCTGTTATTGCACACAAACCCTACACATGATCTCAATTGTTAAAATCTGTACAAAATATGTGTAAAACAATTGTCAATGAATTTCTGGTTTTGATTATTAATAATTAATTATAATTACAAAATAAAACGCTAATAAAATCAATGTTTAAAACAAAGAAATTAAACATTTATAAGAATAATGAAAATTACAAAAACAATGCCTTCAATAAGCGAGTCATGACTCATGAGTGAATGAGTGGATCAGTTCATCCACTCATGAGTGCAGGAGTGGATCAGTTCATCCATTTGCGACAATTGGGTGCTTCGCACATACAGGGGATCTTGTGCTGGTCGTCCTCCACGTCGAACTTGTAGTCGTACGTCAACTATGGGTCCAAACAGACAGTTATATATACAGTAAGACAGAGAATGGAGTCGAGCGTTGGACTCACCTCTTCGCCCCTTTGGATGCGACGGTTGGCTATAATAAGTATTTTGTTTTCTCTATCGATTTGAACACATTCTGCCACACAGTTTGGATTACACGAGTGGTTCACATAACGGGCCAAACCTCCAGACAGTGTCGCGTCGATCACACGGTTGTCGTCCAAACGAAACATATAAACGCCTCGATTCTGACGATTCAGAGATGGGATCAAAGAGTTAGCTAATGACGGATCAACTAATAAATGGTGAGATAATGGCATACCTGTGCCTCATATATGCGTTCATTTCGCTCCGCGATCTCATTGCGGATCAGAAGTCCGATGTACTCTATAATCATTGTATGCTTTTCGATGTCTTTGACGGCGTAGAGGCCGAGCCCTTGGATGCGAGAGCGGGCGAGGAAGACGTTGTTGCGCCACTCCATCTTCATTTTGCGGTATTGCGAGGACTTGGAGTGAACGAACTGTTTGACGTACGGCGACGACACCTCCATTCCGCTCAACGACTGGATCGATGAACGCGAAGAATTACTGGTCGACACGTGCAGAGTGTGCGGCCGCTTGAAGTGAGTCCGCAGTTTGGGTTCAGTTCGCGCACAACCCGTCGGATTGATGGCCAGCGGTAACTCCAGTAATGGTGAGCGACCGTAACGGAAGTTATAGTCATTTAAAGTGTCGATTCCGGGCAAAGACTCTAAGATTCTAACGACAGCCGGGTCTGAGAGACCGAACAAGTCTTCGCCGGTTATATAGTCTGTAAATACTTTGATTGATTTGGCCTCAGATCTCATTCTAACGATTGATTCCAATATCTTAAACCAGACATTCTTAGGAGAACTGTCTCTAAATGTGATATTCTCGAAGCCTTCCTCTTTGATTTCCACCACAAACTCAGGTCTGCCCTCGACTTCAGCGATGGAACAGATGTATTGACACCTCTTCCCGAATCGCCTCCAACTCCAATAGAAACGGATAATCTTATAGCCGATGGGATAGATATAGTTAGGGCTGTGGAAGGCATGCAACTGATGCGGCAGAAGTTGACCGATGTTTACAAATATAAGATTTCCGGTTCTCAAGAGGTTGTTGTCTCCCGTATGAATCATGGATGCGATCTGTTTCTGTTCGTCGCGATTGACAAACACTCGCCTCAACACAACAAATGTAGTCAACTCTTCGGGATTATGTGTTTTGGGTGAGTGTTGAGAGCAGAGCAGTGTCTTGTCCTTAAAGAACATACACTGATCTTTGAGAGCACAGGGAAAGTGGTATGAATTGATACACCGAGGTTTGAAGCACTTGAGCGATGCGCCCATTTTCTTGCATTTGGCGCACTGGAGGGTCAGCCCTCTCTTGCAGGCCTGGTCTACATTCATGAGCCCTCCGTTCAACATCTCGTAGACCTCCGACGACCAAAGCGCACAATTCAAATGAATCCATTTGTCGACATCCATATTGAGCAGACGTGACGGCCCGTCAGTCTCTCCATCGCCCGTCTCGTGACAGAGCGCGCACTTCCGCTTCTCAGCACTACTGGCCTCAGGTTTCACACAAATGGCCATTTTGTCCAACAAAAGCCCCGCCTCCTCTTCCTCCTCATCCACTTCGTCTTCGTCTTCAGTTTTGATCTTTATTTTATCGAAAGACTGATTATTCCAATACTTATAACGCGTTTCTTTCCATTTCTTAGGAAGCGGTTCGGGAGGAGTGGCTATTGTGGGCGTTTGGATCTCTGACTCCACTTCCACTTCCATTAAGCTGTTGGGAGCTGTCATTTGATCTTCAATCACAAGAGGTGGTAATTTTGGTGACAAATTCATTGCCAGCACTTCTTGGTCACTGATGTCGTCGTCTTCCATCATTGGACTCATTGGCGGCAATAAATCCATTGAGTTCTTCACAATAAGAGGCTTTTCTGACTTGATTTCATTGACAGGCGTTTCGTTTGAGTGTCGGTGCGAAACGACGGCCGCCGCCTCTTTCTCCGGAGGAAGGCCTCTGTGGGAGAGAGCGAACTGCATATAACAATTAGTGCTGCAAAATATCACGTCTTCTTCCTCTTCGAGCTGTTCCTGCGCTGAGAGCGACAGTTCCGATGATTTCTTTTTGATTCCAGCGTTCAGAACAACGATATCACAGAATTTGCAGAAGTTCTTCAAAATTTGCATTTTTCCGTTCAATTCTGTTATTTGGTTGTCATTATTGGATTCAATGCCCTCTTTCTGGTGATAAAGACCCAACTTCTGTGAGGGAGGAGTTGCCGTTCGCTCCACTATTTCGTATGTATTGGGCGCCGGAATGTCCAGATATTTGGCTAATGCGGTCAAAATGCCGCGAATGTCGTCGACAGATGAGAGCGTAAGAGTGACGCCGACATTACCCGTGTCTTTGAGCGGAATTGAAGATATAGTTTTCGGCTTATTTGAACCGTTTATCTCCAATGCATTCTCTTTGTCTCTATCGAAATCATGGTCTGACAGTCGTCTCTGAGATATCAAAGTTGATGCTAACATAGGAATGGGACGGATAGGGATCGACACTAGTAGTGGAATGTCAGGAGAGGAGCGGTTGTTATTAATGTCTTTGATATCTTCGTCGTTGTCTTCGTCATCAAAACTAATAAATTTAAGGCCTTTGAAAGTGTCTGTCGGACAGTCGTATAACACAGTTTCTGGTGAAGAAGACGAGACAATAGTGTCGGGACTGTCGCAGTCGCGGTAGTAGTGATTCAATTCAATGTCGTGTTTGTAAGGGACGTGAAGTGCTGAATGAGAACTCTTAGAGAACTCTTCGTTATAAAAGCCTCGACTCGTTGACGGCATACCAATGGATGAGCTGTTGTTTGTGTTCAGATAGTTGTTAGTGACGGTGTGGGCACTGTTGACAGCACTGGCAGGTAATGATGGTGTGAGAGGCGCTGCTTTGTTGGGTCCAAACGGATACGTCGAGTAGTAATCGATGGTTGAAGAGAGGAATGCATTGCCATAACTTCCACGTAATGGCGATTCTTTGGAGTTGAGATCCGTTACGTCGAATGGAAGCGAGACATTGAAATTGGGTTTAATAGACGGTTCCGATATCTGGAGCGGTGGTAATGCCCTGAGTTGTGCCATTAAAGTGGCAAAGAATTGATCGCTGTCTTCATCATTGCGCGATTGGGATGCCTTTCGCGCCCGCTTTTTGGTCGGCGGTTTCGGGACATCGGATACTCCGTCTGGACTCTTGGCTTCTTTGCGTTTCGTAATTCGCTTTCGCTTTGGTTTCACTTCTTCGGGAGGAGGAGTGGGCTCTCTTTCCAACTGAGCTCTACGTATATCCAAGTAAGACATCTTCTTTTCCGGTGATATTCCAGTCGACATGTTTTGATTCCTTTGAATCATCGCTTCAGTTGTTAGGTTTGCATCGCTGTTAGGAACGGACATCACTTCCATTTCCATCTCTTCTTTAGGTTGTATTTCATCGACTTGTTGTGTGTTAGGTATGATAGGAACAGTAGGTATGACCGGTACATTGGGTATGGCCGGTACATTGGGTATGGCCGGTACATTGGGTATGGCCAGTACATTGGGTATGGCCGAGACATTGGGTATGGCCGGTACATTAGGGATGACCGGTACAGTAGATATGACCGGTACAGTAGGTATGGCAGAAACAGTAGGTATAACAGAAACAGCGGGTATAGGATCGCTTTCAACTACATTTTCCACAGTCTGTACGGTTACGGTCTCCTCTGTTACCTCAATATTATTCGGTTCATTGGGTTCTTCCGTCTCTTTCATCAACGACTCAATGGCTTTGCTCTGAGAGTCAGCCGACGGACAGTTCTGTAGGAGTTGTTTAAGTAAAGCATTTTGTTTGTTATGAATGGACTCTTCGTTGCTATCGCTTTCATTGGTTTCACTCATTAAATTTGATTCATTCAAATCAATATTATTGTTTACGATTGATGTCTTTGTTTCTTCAGTATCTATCACTTCCATAGCATTCGATGTCTCAGAAGTGAACTCCTGTTCGATAGCATTAGAAGCGGAGAATGTGTTGTCCTGTGATTAAACCAAAATCCAATTAAATGAACAGATCTTACAGTATGAAAGCTATAATACAATACCTGTTCGGTTTTCACATTAATGTTGTTGGACTGGGACTGGGACTGGGACTCAACACCCCATTGGTAGGACTGAGAGGGACCACCACTCGTTTCGATCAACTCTTTTTTAATGACAATCTCATTATTATTAGTCATTTGTTTCTGTTCTTCGGTCTCTTTGTTGGAATCGTTGGAATTGACGAGAATGTCATTCCCGGCGTCATTCTCCTGACCCGAGCCCTGTTCGTCAATATTAAAGGCAATAGAAGTCTTCGCTTCGCCGACAAGGGATGGCTTTTGATCGACCGATTCGTTCTCTGAATGGGATTTATACTGAATGTCTGACAATAATTCGTTGCCGGCGTTGGACTCCAGCATATCACCAGAACTTGATAATAGATCCTGTGGTGGTAAATGCATTGATGAACTCTCTCCCGGATGACTATAAGGAGAGGAGACCGGTATTGATCGGGGGGAGCACTGAACCATTTGGTTGTCGTCAGGTGTATATGAATTCAATGGCATGTTCTCCGCAAACGGTTTATTAGATTCAAATTCATTAGAAGACATCCTTTGGGAATATTCAGGCATTCGGGGCTGCATTTGATGGGAAACGAGTCGAGACATAGGCGCCACTTGAGGTGAGCCATACATTCTCATGTGTTGTTGTTGTTGTTGTTGCAGCTGTTGCTGTTGTTGAGGCATTGGTGGTCCCAATGATCCGGGATATGGAGGCGGAGGTGGTCTTCTGATTTGCATTTGTTGGTGTTGTTGCTGTTGCTGTTGGACCTGTTGTTGTTGCTGTTGTTGTTGCTGCTGCTGCTGATAGTTAGGCGGCAACTGTGCTGGATATGGCTGTCCCACGAGTTCAGTGTACGGCCTTTGCTGATGAATCATATGTTGGTTCGGGAACCGAAACATTTGCGAATCAGTTGACTGTTGGTAATGACTAGTCGGGTGTTGTGTTGGCATCGGTTGACTCATCTGTTGCAGAGGACGGATTTGTTGTGGCACTGAGTGATGGAAAGCCATATTATCGTCGTTATGGAAAGGGATTTGGCGAAACATTTTCTGTCTCTCATCAATGGGTTGTCCGTCTGATGACATCATATGTTGATATCCAGCCGCAGAGGTTGGTTGTTGTGTGGGTCTGATTGATGTCATTTGCATTTTTTCCTTCTGCAGATAGACATCACTGAATGGGTTGTTGTCGTCAACGATATGAACAGATTGTGCTGACATTTGGGGCCTAATATTGGCGTCACCAGGCATTGGGTGAGGCATTGGTGAGTGAACCATAGGTGAGGGCGGCATTGCTGCCGGTGAGTGAAGGTTAGGAACCGGCGAATTCTGCATCAATGGAGAGGGAGACGGACCTAATGGCGATGGACTCATGATTGATGGCGATTGAGGAGTTGGCGGACCTGTCATTGCAATTGGAGTTCCCGGAGCTGAAGACCCCAAAGCCATGAGAGGCGAGTGCACAGAACGAGGAGAGGTTTGCATCGATGGGATGGAAGAACTTCCCGGAGACTGTGGCAAAGAAATGCCTGTTTGCGGGATCCCTACCATTGCCTGCTTTGGCCTCTTTTGATGGTAATCACTGGTTATCATTTGATGTTGTCTTAAAGCCTTGCGAATCTGATCCAAATGCTTTTGAAGACCACTCATCTCTTGAGTGATTCGAGTCAACTCGTTTTGGTCGACTTCACTCAAATCCGTTCCATTCTTTTTGCATTGTCTTTGTTTTGTGGCCACGATTTTCTTGGCTTTTCTCAGTTTAGTGATCTCTGCCTCGAAGTGCTTCTGTTGTTGAGATAACAGACTGTTCTGTTGGATCAACCAATTCTCGTACTGATGTTGTTGTTGTCGTTCCATATCATTCATGGGCTCCAAAGGAGGTGTTGGTGGAGGCGGAAGACTCACCATTGGTCTGATGGCTGGCATTCCTTGCGGAACATTGGGTCGAATGCCATGTGTTGGCCGAACATTAGGTGCCATTCGGACGCTGGATATTCCCATTGGATTGATTTGAACGGATTGATACATTTGCTGTCTCTGAAGGGTTGGTCCCATTCGGGGGTTCATTTGTGGCAGTCTTTGATGCGTTTGAAAGGCAGGGTCTGTGATGTTCTGCCAGTGCGGCCCTTGACTCGGGTTGGGTTGCATTTGCTGTGGAAATGTTTGTTGCATTTGTTGGTGCGGTTGAGAGGTTTGCATTGACCCCATAACCAGTCCTGGAATCGGTTCGTCTGACAGAATGTCTGCTTTGAGTCTTTCGAACTCAACATCACTTAAAAGACTATCCGATTGAGTCATTATGTTGTCGGGCGGCGCCTGTGGCGGCATATAAGGGCGCGACTGCATTGGCATTGCTTGCCTCTGATCTCTCTTTTCCTGCTCAACCAGTTCTTCGAGTAGAAGCGGTTGTTCCTGAAGAAGTGGTGTCATCGGTGCGGATCTTAACGGTGTCTGCGGGTCAATACATTCTGATTGACTGGTGTTTGGCTTAATAAGATTGGGTGTCATTTGCCGCGGCGGTTGGGCATACGGAGGAGGCGGTGGGAGCTCTTGTTGTCCGCGATAGGGAGGCGGCGGTGCGAATGCGAGCCGAGGATTGATCGGTTTGTTTGGAGTCGGCATTTGGTTAACTATTTTTACATTTGGAACCAACGAAGTGCCGGCAGTTTCTTGTTTTACTTCAGCCTTTTTGTCTCGAGTTTCGGCATTCGGTGTCACTTTTGTTCCGCCCTTTTCTTCACTCTTATTCTTCTTCTCGTCGTCGTCTTTATCGTCCAAATCATCCAAATGCTCGTCAAATATATTACTCTTTCCGCCAGTCTTTCCACTCAAAGCTTTGTCGAGTTCTGGATCGGCGTATTCAAGGATATTGAAGTCATTGCCTAATCCCAAGAGCTCGTCGTCGTCGAGGTCTTCAGGAGAACACTCCTCTTCAACTAATTCTGGATTTTGTTGTTCTTGAAGTTGTTTAACAATATCACTAGTGGTCGGGGGTTTGGCAGCAATGGGCGGTACCGGTCCCTGTATTAACGGTTTTGAGTCCGTTATTTGCTGAGCGTTAGACATGTTTGGATTCACTGGTATGCCCTGAGCTAAGGGTTGGCCCTGCATTACATCACTGTTCTGCACATTCACTGACATCGGGTGTTGCTGTCGGACAAACATCTGAGATCTTACGGGTCGTATGGGTTGACCGGCAAACATAACATTCTGTTGAACGGCACCCGGAGGAGGCATACGAGAGACGCCTGGAGGTAACACTTGAGTGTACTGGTTATCAGCACATTGCTGTTGCATTGGCTGATTGCCAGCTAAACCAGCGTTCGGGTGCATGTGTGTGGGCACCCGTACCCACTGGGGCTGACCTCTCATTCCAAACTGCTGTGGCTGTTGTTGTATGAGAACGGATCGCATCCGTGGGTCTTGTATTCTTTGGACAACCATTCTTTGGTCACCAGTATTGGCCGGATGTCTGAACACTTGGTCCGATGGGAAAGCAGTGGGAATACGAGGCCGTAGCATAGCTCCTGGAGGAATAGGCTGTCGAAACATGCCGTCGTTTGTTGGCGCTCTCATCTGATTGTTGCCTACATTTCAAACAATTTACATCAAGTTATTTATTTATAGACTAATAATACAATAAAAAATTCAACAAATAATTTAAGACAAGAAGTATTAGTATCTAAATGGCTTAATATGCGAGTAATTCTAATGATATGCAAAATGTCATACCTGGCCACCGGGGCGGAAGTTCTTGGCCTTGTTGTCGCTTCTGTAGTAAATCTCTGAGCTGTTGCCGCGAGAGTTGTGTGTCATTCCCTTCTTGCCTATCATTAGGACTCATAGGCATTGGAGTTCCCGGAGCTTTGGCGTACGGATCATGAAGTGGTGGAGGCATTGGTGTCCCCGGCTGTCGGGCATAGGGATCAATGGGAGCGGGAGGTGGAGGCCTCATCATGAGAGGCTGTCGTACAGTTTGTAACGGGGGTCGAGTGACCACAGGTCTGGGAGTCCCCGGTTGATAAGCGTAGGGGTCGTGTGGCTGTTGCTGTAAAGCCGGTGGAGATGGTTGTGGTTGCGGTGAATGTTGTATCGGCTGCTGGAAGTTGGGGCGTGGAGTTCCCGGTTGTTGAGAGTAAATGTCAGACTGTTGTACCATTCGAGGAGTGCCCGGTTGTCGTGAATATATATCGTCCACATTATATGACTGCGATCTCTGAAGAGGTTGTTGGGGTCGTGGAGTCATGGGTTGTCGCGCGTATATATCTGTCTGTACATTAGGCACCGGCCTCTGCATCTGTTCGCTTTGAGGCGATGGCGGCGGTTGTGGGGTCTGTGGAGTGGGCACTGGTCTCGCGTATGGATCAGTATTTGGTGACGAAATATTTCGATTAAAAGAGTCGGGCGTTCGCTGACCCATGCGTTGATATAAACACTCATTATTCTGGGAATCCATTGAAGTGTTGTGATAATCAGATGGAAACGATTGACTCCTCTGAAGTGTGTTCGGCATTGGATATGAATCGACGCATTGCTGTTGGTTTTGAGTCATGAGATTATGTGTGGGCGAGAATGGACTCGTATGCGGTGTCTGCGGCTGTCCGTAAGGACTGGAGGGCATCGGTGTCTGACTGTGTGGATCATTGCTGTGAGGCCTAGGAGTCGATGGCGGTGTTTGAAACGTATCACTCGTAGGCGTTTGTGGTATAGAATTGATGTGAGAAGCACCGGGAGATGAGGGAGAAAATGGAGATCTTTGTTGAGGAGTTCCCGGCCTTACAATCGGCTGAAGAGTCATTTGTGGCTGAGGTCGGGGTGTATTTGGCGGGTGAGCGTATGGGTCGTATTGCATAGGTTTGCAGCCGGCGCTCGAAACGGGCAGTTTGTTTGGATCGATTGGTGGTCTCACACGCGACACCTGAATGACTGGACTCATAGGCGACGGCCCAGAGGGTGACTGTACTTGAGGTCTGTTCATAACAAACGAACCTTGAAGTGGATGTCTTTGAACTGGTGATTGCATCGGCATATCCTGGACGTGAGGCACTGGAGACATACTCTCAGCACCAAAGTCTGGTCCTAACCGTGAAGGCGATTGTGGAATATTATGCATAAGAGGGGGTCGGGAGGGGTCAGCAATGGGAGATATGGGACCCATTGTTTGTGTCTTGAGGAGAGTCTGTCTCTGTTCTTGTATGACCTGCTGGTGTTGGATTTGCTGCTGTTGTCGGGACGCCTGCAAGTGCTTCCATTGCCGTTCATTATCGACATCACGAATGGCGGGAACGGCAACCGGTGGTCGGATCTCTTTCCCGGGGCGCTGTGTTTCTGACTGAGCCTTTTGTATACGATTTTGAGCCCTATTTTCGCGTGCTTTCTGAAGGAATGGCTGTCTTTGGTCAGTAGGCAACTGACGCCATAACTTAGATATTTGTTTAATGCGGTCATTCCATACGGGATACTCGGCCTTAAGGTTCTGATGATTTAGATTTGCATAAAGAACTGGAGATATGGTGGCCATCGGACCCAATGCCTCGTCGGCCTCCCATTTAATCATATTTTTCTGTCCCTGAGATGTCATCTGTTCGTCTCCTTCTGAAGGCCACGGACTCTGAGGTTCAGTGAGTTGAGGGCTATATTGAGCAGACGGTTCATTCATCGCTGGGACGGGAGGGAAGGGCGACGGCATGTTGTACGGGCTGTCAAGAAGTGGAACGTTAGGCATACTGTCCAGAGACGCCTGCTTTGAATGTATGAGTTGTGGTAATGGCACAGAAGAGGCCGGCATTAAGTTTTGCGTCGATGGCGGGGCTAAAGGCGAAGTCAATGGCGGCGGAGGGATTTGCATCGGCATCGAAGGTTTGGTAGTAATGGTTGCCGTCGGAGGACCTAATATTGCATTGAAGTCATTGCTATCGTCTGTGTTGTGTGGACTCAACACTCCTTTAAACAAATCCTCGACATCTTTGCTATCCATCTGTGGAAGACTGGATGCGCCAACAATTCCATCCAAATTGAAGTTAGGACTCAACAGATCCATTGCATCGTCTTTTGTATTTCCTTCTACTTTGGGGTCAACCGAAAGGTTATCGAGTGATTCATTGGTTCGGTCCAAAGCGTCCTCATTGATCAACATATCCATGAGTTCGTCATCGGGTGGAAGAGGAGGCAAGAGATCCTGAAAATCTTCGCCGTCTTGAAGATCGTCTTCGAGTGGAGTCCCGGAGCGATCGTCAACGCTGTGACTCAAGGGTTCAGTCTTTGGTTTGTGTGACTTGACGGCCGCCATCTCTGTCGGCGTCAAAACAATTAATTTGTCGTTTTCTATATTTTTGGTCATCAGGTCTTCGTCGTCACTCAAAGCGTTTATATTAGTTAAAAGAGTCGATTGATTGGTCTCTGATGTCTCGAGAAGTGTTTTGCCGAAGAAGGCCTCCTGCATGTACTGCGGGAAACTGTCCTGAAGATGACTCTTCTTCTTACTCACTCGACGTCTTCGGCGCGGTTTATCCGAGTTCACCGAATCCTGAGCGCCAAACATATCATTGCCGTTCACATCCATGTCTGCGTTCGCCGCAACCACTTCTTCAGTGTCTTTACTCGTACTCATTCTTCCTCTTTGTTTGATAGAAAAGCCTCCGATTCCTAACTTATGAAGTCTTCGCTGTCTTTTCTTCTTTTCTCCGATTTCATCGGTTTTATTCCCCTCTTCATTGACTTTGTCTTCAATAGATGCCATGTCTTCCTCTTTAGACACTTCTTCCATGTCTTCAGACTTAATGGCGTTCAACTGATTCAACGCTTGTTTGGTACCCCTTTTGACTCGAGTTCTCTTTGGTTGTTCCACTTGTAGTGACTTTATTTGACTCAAACCCCTGTCTGAAAGGTATATGCCGTCGACTAAGTGATAATGAGTTTGAACTTTCGGTGCAACGGATCTGGCATTTGTTGGCGTGAGAGGTGTCAGACCAGATGTGGGCGTTTGTGCGACTTGTGGTGTGAGCGTCAGAGATAGTGATGTTTTACTTCCAATCGATTCACCAGAATCTCTTCGAATCATTTTCGCGTTTTCATTCACTTCTTCACTGTTTTGTTTCATTAACTGTTGTTTCGATTGATAAGCCGACGCTTTCCGAGCTATTCATTCAAAATAATTATACAATCATTGCTTTCATTTATTGTGTCAAATAAGAGGCAATCAATTGAGACAAACCCTGCAAATGTGGCGGCAATTCATCTTTAGGTCGGCAAAGAAGGCAGTGATAGCCGAAGTCGGCCGCACTCTCGCAGTCGTCTTCAGTGGTCATACCATCACATTTCGAGTGAAGCCATCTATTGATTGAATAAATTCGTTAATTGCACTGAAATACACTTCACTATACAAAACAATTGACAAACCGATTGCATTGAATGCATTGAATTATAAGATCGCTTTCACGATAGTCTCCCTGACAGGCCGGGCATGTGGTCTGACTGGCACAGGGACCACATTCGGTATAATTCTTTTGCCAAAGAGATCCATATCCAGGGTTCGTGGACTTGCACTTAACACAAATGACACACCAGCGACACTTCCAGGTGCCCTGTGGTACGTCATCTAATGGCGGATCCAAACAGTAGGTGTGATAACTGATGTCGCAGTCATCGCACAGAAGGAGACGCGCCTCGTCGTGGGGCTGACCACAGCCTTCACATACAGTACACTCGAGACAACGCCACCCTTTGTTGAGAACAACTTTTGTCACTTTTATATTAACACAAAATGGATGATAACATTGTCCGCATTGGGAACAGGAGATGAGTCGTCCCTCTTCGGCCTGACCCAAACTGCCGCACATCGCACACATGTCCTGAGACAATACGAAGTCATCCTTAACTGAACACAGAATCACTTTGTTCTCATTGGCCGGATCGTCGTCTTTGATTTTTTCTCTCACTTCGCACTCTTGGGAACTGATAGCAGAAGCTCCGGACACTCCAGAACTGGTTGTCGCCAAAGAACCCAATGGGCCGGCAAAGGGCTTAAATTTAGCTTTTGGGCCGCGTTTGCGTCTAAACTCCACGGTTTTGGCCCTTTTCCTGCCCGGAAACTTGCCGCCCCTCATCTTTCCCGGAAAATTCAGTCTTTTCTTTCCGCTAAGTTTACCCCCACTTACAGGTATTGGCGGTCGGATTAATGAGTTATTATTGGAAAGAGGGGTCGGGAAGGGCTTCACATCAGGTATGGCATCAGAACCGGAGACCATTGGCTGAACTTCAATGTTATCAATGCTTCCCAACGAATCTTCAGTGAAAGAACCGAACGATTCCCGACTGGCGTTGAATATGTTGTCCGGAAGGCTCATGTTTGCGAAGCCATCTCTGGGCTCAACACCGGAAGCACTGGAGGTTTCACACACTTTGCAGACATAGTTATTAGCGATTTCTGCAATGAGATCATTGCGTTGACTTAGTTTTGGTTCACAACTCATATGAATTAGTTTACGACAAGTGATGCACTGAAGCATTTCGCTCTGACAGGCCTGTCGGTAGGCTTTGCCACATATTGGACACGAACTGCCTTTGTTTCGCTGTTGATAACAACTATCGCACACCGAGTAATTCATATGCCATCGAGAACTGGGACCGTTACCCGGCGTACGCGCCCCACAGTCCCCACAAGCGCGACAGTCTTTGCACTTCCAGCCGTGTTTGGGAACCGTTGACATAATGGGTCGCAAACAAAATATATGGTATCCCTTATCACACGTGTCGCACATTAACATCTTATTGTCATCTCCCGGTTGATGACAGGTCTGACACAACTTGCATTCGGGACACTGCCAACCGGCCCTCACACTAGCAGTTGCCGTCACAGGTGTGTCCAAACACTGTCCGTGATAGTGATGTCCACAACTCGTGCAGAACAGAAGGTCCCCAATTTCTCCAGACTTTTCACAGTTCCCACAAATGGCTTCATTTTTAAACAAACTTATGGCTTGAGATGAATGCAAACGGCATAACATTGAGAGGGATTTAATGTCCAGAAAAGTGCCGCTAATGACAGCACAGGCGTAATGATAGATGTGATTACACGATGGCTTCGAGTGACAGGCAATGGTTGCCCCGTATTTGTTGCACTCGAAGCATATCTGTTGAGCGCCTTCGCAGACAGCCTTATCGACGTTGAGAAACACGTACTCATCGTTCTGTCGGACGCCCTTAGACCAGGCGGCGCAGCAGTGGTGAGCCCAACAATGGCCGGTCAACTCGAATAAGTTCATCATTGCTGTCTTGTCGCTGAAACCAATCGACTTCAACTCATCCAACGGTCCGGGAATTACTTTCTGTACGTCTGTTCCCCTTCGAGCGAACTTCTGGTTCGGGTCTTTAGTTGCTTTAAGCAATACATAGATTTCATTCAATACATAATTATCAAACAATTCAATGCAAAACATACCGTTTCGAGCGGTGGACGACATATCCGAGTTGTCATTAGTCGATGAATTGGTGCCAATCGAGTCAATATCCGGCGAACTCCGAAGTCGAGACGATCGCTTGGCGGGACTAAAGCCGGGCGTCGGCTCACAACGAATCAGTTCTCCTAAACTAAGCGATGAATTCTCGGATAAATTGCAGAAAATACAAACTCTTCCGCTCATCTTCAGTTCACTTTCATTGTTAGAGTCATCGGAGTTACTGATCGATAGATTTGAATTCATTTGAGACGAACTGAAACTATGAGAAGAGATGGTGAGCTCCACTCGACCGGAATCTGACGGCATTCGCGGTACAGAAGTGCCAGAAATGGGTTTTATTGAGAGTCCGGAACACATATTAAACGAATTGGGGTTCGGTTTCGATGGCTGCACATCACATCCCGGAAGATTAGATCCCATTCCCAACGTGTTTAGCGTCTTGCGGCCTCTCATGCGGGGTCGGCCCGGGAAGAGGTTCTTGCGCTGAATGGGAACCTTTCCGTCCTTTCGCGGTCTTCCCGGCCCTCTCTTCGACGGAATGGGAGGAACGGGTGATATCGTGACCGACGATTGAATCTGACTTTTGTTTAATCCAAGGCTTGTTTGCGCCAAAAGACTCGATTCAAAGGGCAATCGAATCGGATTTATAGAGACGATGGGCTCCAGAGACATGGGTNCCTCTCTTCGACGGAATGGGAGGAACGGGTGATATCGTGACCGACGATTGAATCTGACTTTTGTTTAATCCAAGGCTTGTTTGCGCCAAAAGACTCGATTCAAAGGGCAATCGAATCGGATTTATAGAGACGATGGGCTCCAGAGACATGGGTCGGGATGTGTCGGACATAAGGTTGTCGTCGCAATCATCGGCCAAATCACCGAAGAGTGTGTCGTTTGCGTCCAAATGAGCGAAGATTGAGTTGTCGTCACTTTGAGAGCTGGTCCGACGCGACAACAAATCGATCTCCAGTTCCGCCGAACCTATCGTTAAGTCAACTGTCATTACAAACAATTGAATTGAAAATAAAATCATAAAATCAAAACTAATCGTCGGTTTGAATGAAACAAATGCTAAGTTTCATGCAATTGTCGTCAAATGCATACATGTATTGAAAATGAAAACGAAATGAAAACAAAACTGAAAACAAACCGAAATCCTCGGAGTTATGACGATTAGGATCATCGCATGGGTTGTCTTCGTTCATGTCCATCGCCGCAGACAATCGGATGTTTGGATCCGATGAGCCAAACAATGGTTGATGTCTTGGGTATCAAACAGCTATTTAATTACTATTAGAATCGATAGAAAATAGTCGACTATTTTTGATATCATGTTTGATATCAAATGCATTGAATTTTGGTTTCAATTGTGATTTCAAGTGACAATTAATTAGACAAACAAACAATGATTTAGAAAATAATGTGACAAATAAAAAGCGGTTTGTTTCGCACGGATTTGATTGAAATCATAGATCATATCAATGATTGGCTTTTGATTACTATTTGAAGACATGATTGAATTGAGAAAACTTTTCTTTCACTCAACTTATTATGAAATATAAATGTATTGAATATTACATACAATTGTATGGAGTATAGCATACACTGTAGTACCCAATAGTACAGCATAGGCACACCAGTCATACACTAACACTACTGTAACAGCTCTACCTATCCATAGCATACAGCCGTACATAGGCTCACATCCAGGCGTTTGTCAGTGAAGGTCAGCACAAACGCACAAAACTCACAGCCATATTGACACTACACTACACACACTGCTATACACTGAAGCATCATTTACAGCATACACTACCACTACTACCAGTGCCATACATGCAACACACCGAACCACACCAATATATGCACAGTACACACACCCGACATGCTTTCTATGTGCTCTCAACTGTGGCACCAATCACGTTAGAGCCTATGATTTTGAGATTGCAAATATTGTGTGGATAAGTTTGCTCCTCGGCCTCCCTGTTCTTTCTCCAATAGAGTATACGTGGGAACCATTGCCGCCCTGGACACCAGTGTCCATATCATGCTATCACTGTATTAATCATTACCTGGCTGTCTATTACATTATCGATTATGTGATTGCTTATAATTTTACAATTAATGCATACAATGCATGAAATGTCATATAATAACTGTAATTAGTTTATATCTTTCCATTACTTCCTATGCTTCCTATGCCTTACTTTTGCAATACCTGTATAGGTCTTAAGACTTGTAAATATTTTATTTATTACTGTATTTATTGCAATCATTACATATGAGTAAATCAACAAGTTAAATTATAACAGCAAAATAATTTTTTAATTTTTAATAACTATTCTTTAAAATGATCACCGAATTTCACAATTTTAATGATCTTTAATTCAATAAATATTTTCATAAATAAAATGTTAATTCATTCATATTCAATGAGATTTAAAACATTTTAAATACTGTATACAAAAATCAATTGTGGTTGGTGTTTAATTGCTTTATAGAGATTAAGCCCACATAAGTATCATGCAATCCCCCATATTCATACTGTATATTTATAATCTATAATTCTATACAATTAGCATATAAATGGTGAATCAATAAGATAAAAGTACTTTAATTTCTAAATAATGGCTAATATAGTGGTTGACATCTAATTAATGAAATATAAATGTATTGAAAATACATATGAATACAGAAGTAGACGAACTATAGGAATAAGCACTCAATTCTGTGTTCAACACTATTTGAGTCAAACATTTGAAAAAAGCGCCAAAATATCAATTATTAAGCATTGAATGCAAGGATTGGTTGAAAAGTTTAAATCATGTTTTGCCTCATGTTTTCAAATGACATGTTTGTTGAGTGAATGGTTGCCACAAGACATCATTGGATACACTATTTCACGTTATATCTGATCCATTGGTGACAATAGTTTAGTGAACGACTGATGGCTGGCATTGAGTTACTATCAGATGAAGGTCTTCGGTGTGACGGCCGGCGTCCCAACGAAGTGAGGAAAATGAGTTGTAGTTTCGGTGTCTTCGACCAGTCGGACGGATCAGCTTATGTCGAGTTAGGAAACACTCGAGTGTTGGCCGCAGTCTATGGTCCGCACGACATCCGCGGCGCCCGATCTAAGGCCAGACACGACAGGGCTGTCATCAACTGCCAGTACTCGATGGCTACGTTCAGCACATCCGAGCGCAAGCATCGACAGCGAGGGGACTACCGGTCCCTCGAGATCACCAGTAATCTGCGCGAAGTGTTTGAAAACGCCATTTTGACGGAACTGTTCCCTCACTCGCAAATCGACATCTTCGTGGAAGTGCTTCAGTCGGATGGCAGTAATTACAGCGCGTGTGTCAACGCCGCCACTCTTGCCGTCATTCACGCGGGCATTCCCATCAAAGACGTGGTCTGCGCGTGCAGTGCATCGATGGTCGGCGACCACTCTCTAGTGGACATCAACTACATGGAGGAGTCGGTCGGTTCGGGACCTAATATGACGATCGCATTACTGCCCAAAAGCAAACAAATCCTTTCCATGGAATCAAGCGGTCGGATGCACTCGACGGCTGTCTCGCAAGTGATGGACTCAGCGATGACTGGCTGTCAGGAAATACTTCAAGTGATGAAAGCATCCATTTTGAGTCATACGAAGGAATTGAATAAACAATAATTGTTTGGATTTTCATGTGTTTATTGAGCGATAAAATTAATAAAATAGAAAATCAGTTAAAGTCTCCGTTTGTCTAACTCTTGACCGCCTTTTCCCTCTCCTTCTCGCGTTTGGCGGCCTCTGCCTTCTCCTGTTCCTCCTTCTCGAAGGCCTCGATGAGAGCCGTCACCTCATTCTGGGGCAGAATTCGGATTTTGGTTTTGTTGTTGTCTCGGGTGAGGGTCGACATCTCCACTGCAAGACATTGCCATTGATTACATGAGCCGCACATTCATACCGTATATTATACACACATTTATCTGCAGTGAGTTTAGTGGTGTCCAGTGTTTTGCTCAACACTTTGACGGTTAGGGCCAACGCGTCCTTAAGACTGGTCTCTCCGTCTTTGTACTCCTGTTTGAGTACCGAAATGGCGGCCGCGCTGTTGTTGCCGATGCACGTGGCCTTCCATCCGCCGTAATTACCGCTCGGATCCGACTGATAGAGTTGGAAGCCGTAGTGCTTATCCCATCCCATGTAGAGGATGGACACTCCGAACGGCCGTTTGCCTCCGTATTGAGTGTAGGCCTGCTTTATGTCACACAACCAACTGACCAGTCGTTCGCAGGGAATACTCTCTCCGTACTGAAGCAGATATCTCTGCGCTATTTGTCTCAACTCATTGGTCAACACATTGGCGTCCGATGTGATGCCGGCCACACTGCACGCCATATCCCTGTCACCCAACACAAGACAATACCACATCAGTGTCAAGGAGTACACCAATTGGTGTCGTAATACTCGTGTAATTTGTAGATCTTTTCCGAGTTGAAGATCTCATCCAACAGTTTGTTTGTGTTCCTCTTCTCAGCCGCCAAAACGATGCCATCGTTGGACAGTATCCCCAGACAAGTGCCCGCGTGTCCGATCGCTTCCATGGCGTACTCCACTTGATACAGACGTCCTGTCGGTCATTATCACACGTGTTAACCACGAGTTGTTTAGTTTCAGAGTTATATTTACCTTCGGGTGAGAAAATAGTGGTTCGCGAGTCATATCGCCGGGCCTTAGGGGACAGACATCTCATTAATACATAGTATACTACAATCAAATTCAATTATCATTGACTTTACCATCTTTTCACTTCAATTAATCGGCTAAATGTGAGTTGAATGCAAAGAAATTATGGATTCAATTGAGTGACACTTCAGTGAATCAGCACTTCTTCAGCTCAACACAACAATACATGAATGACTGGACATAAAGTACGTGCAGAAGTGGACGCAATGCAGTGATGGTGTGAGAGGTGGCGCTCCAGACGTGAGTTGACGTCAATCTGTCAGATGTTATGAAGGGTTTTGTTGAGGGTTTGAGTCACACATCGACTCAATTGACTGCATATTTAAGTCAATCATAGCTTACGTTAACTCATAATCCGTTTGTTATCGCAATTAGTTTGAGTGAAAACATTGGGTAAACAATGCAGTGATTGGTCGACACATACGGCACAAGTAGTGGACAGTTAGGGTGATTGGCAGCACATGAATGACACGATAGTCACTCATGGATTCAATCCATTCGTAACCAAAGAAGTGGTCTTTTATTAGATTTAATTGTTTTTATGTTTGAAAGTATTTTACCAAATCTTACCCTCAATTGTCTTTCACGCAAATCACACCCCAATGAGTGATATATTGCGGTCGGCCTTCAATAACATCAGTTCCAACGTCTGGTCCAATGATCACAACAACGAGTCCACCTATTCGGACAACCCTTTCGTCGGACAAACCATTGATGTGAAGGCAAACAAACTCAGAGTCGAAAGGGTTATCGCCGAAGGTTTGCCATTGTCTTCAGCCAGTGATCACTCAATTCAGTGATGTCTTGTATTTCAGGCGGTTTTGGATTTGTTTTTCGTGTCAGAGATGTGAAGACATCGACGGTCTATGCGTTGAAGCGATTGATCGCTTCGGACAATGAATCGAAGAAAGAGATCGAGAATGAGATCCAAGTGTTGACACGTCTTCAGCCGCACAAACATATAATGGCATTCATTTCGTGGGGAAAAATCAATCAAAACATATATCTTCTTCAATGGTATTTGTGTTGATTTGTTAGTCAAAGAGTTGGTTACAAAACATGAATTAACTGTTTAGTGAATACTGTGGTTGCGGTTCATTGCAAGACATTAAGCTACCGGTGGCTAATCACCAGCAGTTGAACCGAATTGTATACCAGACATGTCTGGCCATCGAAAGAATGCATTCCTTAGGCATCACTCATCGAGACTTAAAGATAGAGAATATTTTGTTCGATAACAACGGGATCGTCAAGTTATGTGATTTCGGTTCGGCGACCACTGATTCATATCTTCCGGATCTTAATTGGACACCAATTCAGAGATCACTTCTTGAAGACGAGGTTCTGTTCATATTTATGTGTGAATTGAGTTAATTGAGTGTATTTTATGCACAGATGTGTCGACACACCACTCCTATGTATAGACCGCCAGAAATATTAGATACTTATCTCCATTTGCCAATCAATACGGCGATCGACATCTGGGCCTTCGGTTGCCTTCTCTTCTGTCTTAAGTTCGGAAGACATCCCTTCGAAGATTCGGCGAAACTGCGGATAATTAACTGTAACTACAGTTTCCCAAACAACACATCCGATTCCGATTTAATTGTTCGCATTATTAAGTAATAAATGAAATATGATTTTGAGGAATGCATTTCTAATATTGATTATTCTTAAGGTCTTGTATTAAAGTGGATCCAAACGAGAGAATGGCCGCAACGGATATAATAGGATTATTAGAAGAGAATTTTGTTGATCTGAGCTCTGCGTGCGTTAATCCTCGTCAGCCGACGCCTACGCAACCGACAAATCCAGTGATTGGAGTCCCTGACAAACCCTTACCACAAATACCCGGTTCAGCACAGCCTTCGTTCAGCTTTTCTGGATTTACTCGTTATATCAAAGACACGTCTAATAAAGTGATGCAAACCGTTCAGAAGTAATCCATATTTACGAGAGTTTATGCAAATGATTACTAAACGTAAGCCCATATTTCAGTTCAATAGCGCGTCAAGACTTGGATTTGGCTTTTTTGACGAGTCGTTTGATTGTAATGTCATATCCGGCCGAAGGTCTTGAGTCCGCCTACAGAAACCATATCGAAGACGTGAAAGCATTCCTCGACTCTAAGAATACTCCATACATTGTCGTCAATATTAGCGGTCGTTCGTACGGTTACAATAGGTTTGGGTCACAAATTAAAGTGTTTGAAGGCGGGCCCACTTGGAAAGACACCAAACACTCGCCAAGTCTTGTATCCATATTATCGTTGTGTCAATTGATTCAGAAATGGATGAGTTCTGATACGAGAAATATGACTGTTATTCATTGCATGGTATGTCTTAATGATTGCAATGATTTTTTATACGGTATATAAAACTAATGATACATTTATTGACGAAAGGATGGGAAGACTAATAGTGCGCTCTTATCGGTGGCGTTAGTCGTATGGATCGGTTTGTTCAACGACTATAAGACTGCTTTGAATTTCTTCGCTGTGAAGAGAATGCCAATAGAGTTGACTCCATCCCAGTGTCGATATTTATCATATGTTTCACAAATGTGTGGCAAACCGTCTGTGAAATCTTCTTCGCGTTCCGATACTATTGTCATCATTAAGTCGATTGCAATGAAAGGCATTCCTTTGTTCACGAAATTGAGGTAATATTTGATAATACTTTACACAAATGTTTTGTATTAACCATTTGTTTATGCATTGAAGGGACGGCTGTCGGCCATTCATTGAGATCTTTATGAACGGAGACGTAAGGATTGGTTCGACAGCCAATGAATACGAGCGGTTAAGACCCTATTCCAGGGCTACGGACAGCACTGTTGTCTGGAATGAGTTGAGCGTTCAGTGCGACTCGAAAGCAGACATTTTGATAGTTATATCTCACGCGCGATCGACCATCAGTTCAAAGATGTTGCAGTCGAAGATGACTGCCATCAGGATATCTTCACTTCAATTCAATTTGTTTTTTGAGCACAAAGGAGTTGTCGGACAACATGTTCTTCAGTTTGATTTGAACTCTTTGGATGACATCGAGGAATCGGATCGATATCCACGAGATTTCCAGATAACCATTGATTTAGAATTGCAGACAAATTACTCGAATGGAGCGAAAACTTCGGTTAAGTCCAAGAATTTTGAGGAATTTGAGGCGAATTCAGAACCGGAATGTATTTTCACTAATCATCACGAGTTAGAAGAATGTCATGAAATGTTTGGATCACAGTGTGAGACCAAACCTGTCAGACCAGATAGACCTCCTCAACGACCACCGCCTCCAAGAGAAGCCAATATAGAGTCACAACAAAAAGTGGTCGAAAATAACGTGAATGTTATCGAAGAAACGGAGCCAAAGACTTGCTTTTTTGAAACCCTTGAGTGGGAGGAAAGCAATCAATTAATTGATAAAACAGACGACAATTTGGTTGAAAGTGACGGCATTGCAGTCGAGAAGGAGAGACCTGCCAAACCTCCTCTCAGTGATCTGCTTCTCAATCTTAGTATCGATGAAACCACAACTCAAATGGAGAATACTGTCCGAAGTAGTAGTGAATTGCCGACTGATTTGTTCGGAACAACTGAACCACAGATAGACTTATTTGCAGAAACAAAGATAACTCCCACTAATGTAGGCATTGATTCAAATGTTAATCTTTTCGAAGACTTTGACATCTTGTCAGCCAATACCACACCTCCCTTACCATCTTTCGATCCAAACAACGTGTTGAAGCCGAACGCCGCGGTGTCACCGACTTCGCCCTCAACAGCGGGTCAGACACTGAACAGTGCGCTCCAGAGAAATACGTCGACCCCTAACTTAACATTAGATCCTTTGGCACAATTGGGTTCATTCGTTACATCGACGGTCACAACCAATGCTAAGCCCAACAACACATCCATTCCAAGAGTGGCCTCGTATTCAACATTCCAAACGGCGAACAATCTTCCGAAGCCTGACTACAACCGAAATAATTTCAATGAAGTCAAGCCCACAACTGCTAACTCGTGTAACACTAGAGTATTGGGCAATGAATTTGAAGACCTTTTAGGAGGTTTTAAAGCGACTCAAAGCGAAACGACTAATAAAAGTATTTCTCAAATGAGAAAAGAAGAAATGGTTTGTATTTTATGCCAAATGGTGTCAATTATAGTGATGAATGTTTCTGTTGTTTAGCTCAGAGACGGAAACTTTGATCCAATGAAACTGAAAGTAATGGAATGGAAAGAAGGAAAGACACGAAACATAAGAGCCCTCCTCTGTTCACTGAATGTGATCATATGGGAGGGCTGTAATTGGCAGCCAATAGGAATGCATCAATTGGTAGCCGCTAATGAAGTGAAGAAATTCTACCGCAAGGCCTGTCTGGCCGTACATCCGGACAAAGTAAGTGATGATTTGATTGTCATTTGTATGATATGAATGTCTAATGTGTTGTGATTGTGGAACAGTTGGTGGGAACAGAACACGAAGAGTTGGCGAAACTTGTTTTCATGGAATTAAACGACGCGTGGACTGAGTTTGAAAAGCAATTACAATAATAATAATTTTATCGATTAAATTATTTAAATCTATTTATTCCTTCATTGATGACATTACCTGAGATTGAGAGACATTTGACAGAAACTAATCGTGCTTTTAATCAAATGTATTATTGATAGAGACGTTAAATATATCTATATTTAGGATAATATTTAAAACATGCTTTAATTGATAATATTCTCGATATGTTATACATATAGCTATAAATACACTATAATATAAATATATGACTATATATTGATATATGAATTATAAGAACTAATTTAATTGTGTTACTATTATTAGCAAATGTTGAATGACTTAAAATGCTATTATTTTTAATAATAAACTATTCATTATTTTAGGACATATGAACATTTGAAATGATGTCAACGAAGTTATGGTTAAAATATACAAATTTTAAGTCTAATGTGAATATTGTGATCAAAATGTTGTTTCGTTGTATCCATTGTTCTAATCTATCATTAAATATATAATTAAAATCATGGAAATAAAACAGTTAAATTAGAACTTGTTCAATTTTATTGCAGTTAATGTTAATTTCATAGATTTTAATCAAGTTAAATCAAAATACGCTAATTTGGCTTAAAATTAATACCGGTACATTGTACTGTAGTATACACTAGTACGTAGTGCACTATACTGCAGTGTATAAAAACACCAAGAATCTATCAGTAAGTTGATTCTATGTTAGAATAAAAGAATAGTGAATCCTTGGTTTATAATGGGAGCGTTTTTAAAATTACCCATCTAGGTTTAAGTTACAAATTACTTCATATGAATATTCCGTTTGTATATTCTTACTGTATGTGCCTGTTCAATTTGCCTTCTCTACCCTCACAAAAGTAGAAACTATATACAGTACCACTGATATTCAGTTTTTGTGACATTTCATAATCATTTTTATTCCATATTAAAAGAATTTATTCATTTTATTCATGATTTGATTTTAGTTTCGAATAAATTTGTGTTAGTTTTGTTTGAATTAAAAATTTCTTGTTTTTAGATTTTATTTGAAATGATTGTAAAAATGTAGATTTAGTGGTTTTAGTGGTGGAACAGTCTGAGACCCGTGTGGATTAGAGTCATCTGATGGGCATTACAGGCCTCCACTATTAAGCTGTCGTTTGTGGAGCCGCCGGGACTGGCGATGAAGTCCACACCTGACTGTCGCGCCCTATCTATGTTATCGCGGAATGGGAAGAATGCGTCCGAACTAAGAGCCACTCCATTCAGTTTGGATATCCATTCCCTGCGGTCTTCCTATATATTTAACACAATAGTTAAACACTTAATGAAAAACAAATTTAAAATATTTACATCAGTCAGAAGGGGCGGAGGGTTTTCAAAGGCATTCTTCCATTGATTTAAATCCATTTCTTTGCCAACACTTCCGTTGACGTAGACATCTATGTAATTGGATATCTCAGCCCTTTTCACTCCTTTCTTGAAGACGGCGTTTGTGATTCTCGGGTGTTGTCGGAGCCACCAGTTGTCTGCCTTATCGCCGGCCAATCGCGTGCAATGTATGCGCGACTGCTGCCCGGCGCCGATACCAATCACCTGACCATCTCTTGCATAACACACAGAGTTAGACTGAGTGTACTTCAGAGCAATTGTCGCCACAATTAGATCCCTAACCGCGTCTTCGGTTAACTATAAAAAATTTTTATTAAAACCAATTTTCATATAAAACAAAATGTTTGCCAAACTCTACCGGTTTAGGCGACGCGACCACATTAGGGCCCGAAAACAACTTCCTGTCGATCAGCGCATCGTTTTTCTTCTGCTCTAATGTCAGTCCAAACAGAGTTCGGGTTTCGATATTCTGTGACTCATAGTTGGGGTCAATCTGAACACAAAACCCATATATTAACCAAAGTTAACAATAATTGACAACAATTTGTTTAAATTACAAAATACCTGAAGAACACAATACCCGCCGTTCTTCTTCTTCTTGAGGATCTCGAGAGCTGACGGTTCATATGCCGGAGCAATGATACCATCGGACACTTCCCGGGATATTATTTTAGCGGTCGTCACATCACAAGTATCCGAAAGGGCTATAAAATCGCCGAAAGAGGACATACGGTCAGCCCCTCGAGCGCGTGCATAAGCCGTCGAAATGGGGGTCAACTCCTTCTCCAGGTCCTCAACCATACATAACTTCAATTGTTCCCTATTTAAGGGCACAGCAATGGCAGCGCCCGCAGGACTCACGTGTTTGAAAGAAGTGGCCGCCGGAAGACCCAACGCTCTCTTCAGATCTC